AGCCCCCCCACCGTCGCCGCCTGCTCTTCGCTTGCAGCCCCACTCCTGCGCCGCAGCCCACGGGGAAAGTGCTGTTTGGCGCGTCGGCTGCTGGCGGACTGTCCCCTGTCACCAACCTGACGGTCACCATGGACCAGCTGGAAGGGCTAGGCAGGTGAGAGACCGGGGAGCGATGCCCCAGGCCGCTGGCCTCTGGTCGACCTTCGGGGTGATCTAGCAGGAAGCTGGGTTTGTCCAGCTGGTCCCGGTGCTCCGATCCGGGATGGCCTGGCCAGGGCCCGCCATGTGCACCCTCCCCCCCGGGCAGAATGTTGGGCGGGAGAGGCCGTTCGGATAGTCCAGGGCTATCCTCAGCCCGAGCCAGACCGGGGAGCGGGGAAGGCTGCTGGGCTTCCTATCTTGTTCACCCCTTTCAGATTTCTCTGTACTCTGTCTCTGTTCCGGGGAGCTCTTTGGAATCTACCCCCACGGGGGAAAATGGGCCCTCCTAAGCCCTCACTTCTACTCTGCTGAGTAGCCGCGCCGGATCTTAGTTTCCTGTAAGCTTTGTTCCTTCTCAACAAAGGGACATGGCATTTTCTTTTTGTGCATTTGTGCAAAATCCATGCAGTCACTTGGCCGGCACGTTTCTGATATCTAATCATCTACCTTTTTTGGTTTTGTTTTGTTTCGAGACAGGGTTTCTCTATTGCTTTGGAGGTTGTCCTGGAACTTGCTATGTGTAGACCAGGCTGGCCTGGAACTCACAGAGATCTGCCTGCCTCTGCCTCCCTAGTGGTGGGATCAAAGGCATGCGCCACCAACCCATCCACCTTCTTACAGCTAGCCCTTTTTATTTAATTTTCTATATTGGAAGACTTCGTGGACTCAATAATAGACTTTCCCACACCACTACCACGAACAAAAGCTTATCCCATTATTTTTAGTGAAGTTACTTTTCCTTCAGTGTTGGACGTCTCCTTTTCTAAACATGTCCTAGGATTTTTCCTGAAAAACTGGGACTCCTGCCCTATTCACCTTTGCCCTTACTCCCAGCGTAGTACCACAAACCAAGGCCCTCTTTAAGGAAATAACCCAACCTTTGTCTCAGGCATGGTCTACAATGTGGACCAAGGCCAAATCCACTCCTTTCTTTGTTCAAATACCAGCTAGGTATTCTGGGTGGCTACGTGTGAGTGTGGCATGTCCTTGGTTTCAATCTCAGAATGATAATTTGTGGCAGCCTGGCCACTTCATGGCCCAGAACCCTGTATGTGACTTTTTAAAATTATGTCCTAGAAATTGATTGTGTGTCGGTATTTCTCTTGGTTTCAGTGAGTACGAAAAGCCAATGGAAGTGAGAAACAACAGCAGTCTACAGAGAATGGGCTCCTCTGAATCCACTGATTCAGGTATTATCATTATCTATGAGTGTTTGTGTGCACATGTATTCAGGTGCCTACCAGGATCAGAAGGCTTTAGAGGCCCTGTGAGCTGTCTAGTGCACCCAACCTGTGAGTTGGGTGCTGGGAACGGAATTTGTCCCCTCTACAGGAGAACCAAGTGCCATCCCTTCAGTCCCTTAGTTTTTAAATTGATTTATTTATTTTGAGACAGGGTCTCACTATGTAGATCACATTGGCCTCAAACTGAGAGATCCACCTGCCTGCCTCTTAACCTCTTTAGTACTGTGGTTAAAGGTGTGTACCACCATGCACCAGACCAATTTGTTCAATTGTCTTGAGCCATTTTGAGAACAATATCGGGAATTTCCTGAGTCACGTCTTATTCCTAGTAACTTAACTGGTGACAATACACTTAGAAATCATGGTATGGAGTATACCCTACAGTGCAGAGGAAGTCCCTGAGGTGGTTTTTAGATTTTTATTTTATATGTGTGGGTGTTTTTCCTATGTGTCTCATGTTACATACCATGTGCATATATTTCCATGGAGGCCAGAAGAGGGTGTCAGATTCCCTGGAACTACAGTTAAAGGTATTCGAAGCCATGTGGTTGCTGGGGATTGAACTCAGGTCCTCTGCAAGAGAGCTGTGTTCTTCTGAGCTGTCTTCCCAGCGCTTTTATTTTTTTCAGACAGGATCTCATTGTGTACACCAGACTGGCCTCTTGGACTCATATTTTTTGTACCTCTAAACTAGTTCTATGACTTGAAAAATAACTCCACAGAAAGTGATGTGTCATTCCTATCTGAAAAGCAATCTTGCTATTAATTGGCTCTTAAATCTTGTTTCTGTTGTTGGTATTTACAAATTGGAGAGTATCCGTGGATGTTTTTAGAAAATATTACTTAACAATAGAATGTGTCTTATTTCCTAAGAATTTTGTTTTTATTTCTCAAAGGTTTCTGTCTAGATTCTCCTGGGCCCTTGGACAGTAAAGAAAAGTATGTATTCATTGCTTTTAAATTTTATGCTTAGTGAAGAGTTTTCCTTAACCAGACCTGTAGTCTCAGCTACTTGGGAAATTAAGGCAGGAGGATCAGAATAAAGAAAAGGGGCTGGAGAGATGGCTCATTGGTTAAAAGCGCTGGGTTCAATTCGAGCACCCAAAGTAAAAAGTGAAGAACTTGGTGATAAAGTGTGGTGTAATGTGAGGCCCTAGATTAGGTTTAGTTCCTAGAATCTTCAAAAAGAAGAGGAAAGAAACTTGTTCGCTTTTGATACGGAATCTCATATAGCCCTGGATGAAGTCGTTCATGTGGTGGACTAGAGCTCTGCAGTTAGCTGCTCCTAGTGAGATGCTTGGATTCCAGAAACACTGCTGAGAATGAATATATTTTGTGTCAGCAGTTTCCAGAATTTTCTTCCCCTCTATTTTAGCTGTAATTTCCCTTGCTCGACCTTTTGTTGTTAAAGCCTTGAATAGATGAATATAGTTCAAGAGATATCAGGATTTTTCGATCTAGATGCCTAGTGTTTGGGGTGCTCCTGAGACCAGAGAAGCTTTAGACATTCATTCTTGTATGACTTTGCTACAATGAGAACCTGACTTGTCCACCTGCTTCCCAGACTGTAGGCTAAGCAGTGTGAATCTGCCGATAAATACCTCTTTATTCTCATATCTTTTGCTCTCATTACAGCCTTGAAATTTCCCTGAGGAGAATAAATTCCCTACCTGTAAGTTGTCATTTTGATCTAATGCCTGTAAACTGTCTCTCTAAATGGTAGCGATGCCTACATTTACAAACTAGACATTGCTTTTCTGCAAGGCATTACCTAGAGCAGCTTCTACAGTGGCTGCCTCTTGTGGACTTTGTTCTGTCTCAGTTTTATCAAACCAGGAAAGGTTCTTTTTACACAAATATACTATAGTATATACCATATAATATATACTATATATAATTATATACTAAAATATACCTGTCAAGAAGGCCACAGGCCTTGTATAATTAGGCAGAAGGCCATTCTACATTATAGCACGGTGGAGCCTTACTAGTTAGCTGCTGTAGTATGTGGGAAGCTAGCTCTCCTGACCCCCACTTCATTTCTTTAAGAATTGGGGTTTTGAGGGTGGGAGAGATGGCTCTGTGGTTAAGAGCATTGACTGCTCTTCCAGAGGATTCCGGTTCAATTCCCAGTGCCCAAAGGGCAGCTCACATCTGTCTGTGACTTCAGTTCCAGGGGATCCCACACCCTCACACAGACATACATGCAGGCAAAACACCAATGTACATAAAAAAGACTTGAGGTTTGAGCTGGGCGGTAGTGGCCCCCGTACTGCAGAGGAAGAGGCAGGCAGACAGAGTTCAGGACGAGTTCCAGGACATCTGGAGCTGTTAAACAGAGAAACCCTGTCCCAAAAACAAATCAATATGACGTTTTGACTTGGTATGATGGGCCAAACCTGTAATTGGGGAGACTAAGGCAGGAGGATCATCTCAAGTTCAAGTCCAGCTTGGGCTGTAGGGTGAAAGAAAGCCTATCTAAAATAAGCAAATAAATAAACAAACAAACAAATAAATAAATAAATAAATAAATTGAAACTGAATTTCCCATTTTTCCCTTTGTGAATTCAATTTCTCTTGTACTTTGGTAGCAGAAGCTCTTGGGATGTAGCCCGGCGCTGAAGAGGAGCCATTCTGATTCTCTAGACCATGACATCTTTCAGCTCATCGACCAGGATGAAAATAAAGAAAATGTGAGTGTGGAGTCAGCATGGTAACCCAGGCTTCCAGTGAAGCCTCTGGTGTCAGTAGCTGATGAGTGAAGCAGCGGGGCTGCCACACTGGACCTCAGTGCAGAGAAGTCTGAATGTGAATCTTGCTTCTTCTACCTAGCTTTGTGATGTTGGAGCTTCTGCTGGCCTCCTTTGTGGGCTGTTCTAGGAATAAATAAGGTTATGTATGTTAGAGAATTTAAAGTGGTACCTGGCAGGTAAATGTTGCTGGATTTCAGTAAGAAGCTTTTGTGAGGTATAATTACACCCATAAGTAGTTTTTTCTAGAAGAGTCTACTCATGACTTCCTTTCTCGGCTTCAACCTTTGGGTGACTTTAAGCTCTTCATTATGTATGGAAGATGTGTGCCACTGGGCCTGTCTGGCAGCATGTTTTTCTTAAACCTTATTTCCTGTGAATACCTGTCAGATATATAAACACTAGAATGATGAGCTAAAATCCAAAGCCATGCATGTTCTGTGTTCAGACTCTCTGAAACAGTGGCTTTGAGGATGATGTGGTTTGTCCAAAAGTCCATGTGTTCCCTGCCAGACTTTCCCCTAAACCTTGCAGGGTGTCTTGTCTAAAGTAGCTGAATTAGTTGTCTCACCTCTTGCTTATTCTATTCCCATATGTTTTATTGTTTCCCATTCCCTGCTAAATGCCAGCGTTTATCACCCTTACAATTTCTGGGCTTAATACAAAACCAATGTCTGTAGAAATTCAGATTCTGTTTGGCCACTTTGGGAGAAGCCATGAGATGTTCTATGGAAATGTGCTTGGAACAGTTTGTCAGCCTCTAGTGCTACCAAACCAGAACTATATAGTTTAGCTGTTGACCCAAACTTGACCTTCTCCCAAGGTTGCCTTCCTGGAAGCTTTGTTCTAAAGGAATAATAGCATAGGTTAAAGTTATCCTATCTGGCTTCAAGATCTTAGGCACACCATTTAACCTGGAAGACCTAGTTTTTATTTTGAGGCCAGCCTGGTCTACAAATCAAGATTCAGGACAGCCAGGGCAGTTACACAGAGAAACCCTGACTGGAAAAACAAAGAAGGCCTTGTTTCCCTACTTGTAAACTAGGAGCAGTCAGGTTGTATTTGATGGTTAGACAAGTTTATGTTCAGAAAGTATAGCTTGGTGGCGTGTGACAGTGGTGCACTTGGGAGACAGAGGCAGGCAGGTCTCTGAGAGTTTGAGGCCAGCCTGGTCTACAGAGCAAGTTGCTAGGACTGGCTCCGTAGGTACTGAGAAACCCTGTCTTGAAAAACCAGGGGACTTTCTGAACATGTTAACAGTTACTGTTTTTAGCACTTAATGAAAGTGCTTATGTGACTATTTAAGATAGGAGACATAAATTTTGTGTGTGTGGGTGTTTTGCTTTTGTGTGTCTGTATACTGTGTATGTGCCTGATCCCCGCATAGGCCAGGGGGGGGTGTCGTATCCCTTGAAACTTGAGTTACAGATGAGTGTGAGCTGTCCTGTGTGTGCTGGGAATCACACCTGGGTCTTTAGAAAAACTCCTCTTCACTGCTAAGCTATCTCACTAGCCCCAACAATAATTTTTTAATTAATCCTGTTGAGTGAAAGAGAAAGTTGCAGGTGGGAGCTTGCTGTGTGTGGTACACAGGTGGCTGACAGAAGTCTTTTTCCCTCCACCATGTGGATCTTAAGGGTGAATTCAGATCTTCAGACTTCTCAGCAAGTGTATTTACCTGCCAGACCATCTCACCAGCCCTAAAGCTGGTTTTTATTAGACAGAAAATATATCAAATATTGTTTTGCAGGAAGCATTCGAATTTAAAAAGCCAATAAGACCTGCATCTCGTGGCTGCCTGAATGCCCATGTACATGAGGAGAGTAAAGATTTCTTCACACACAGGCAGAACTCAGCCCCAGCTTGTATGGTATGTGTTGTGGCTTTCTGTCATGGGAAGAGAGTTTTCAACACTGCAAACATGTATGCTTATGTGCATTAGTACATGTTGTATCAGCATAGAGTTTATTAATGCTGAGCCTATGGTACATGCCTATAATCTAAGCACTTGGAAGGCAGAGGGAGGATGATCAGGAATTCAGGTTTATTCTCAGCTCAGCCATGAGCTCAAGGTCAGCCTGGGGCTACATGAAATCCTTTTTCAAAAAGAAAAAAAGGCAAGTTTACTGTTATTGCTAGGTGTGGCGACTCAAACCCAACATTTGGGAGGCTGAAGAAGGCTGTGAATTATCTGGAGTTACCTCTTGGCAGGTTAGAAAGTTTCATTAGAAAAGTTGATTTATTTGTCAAAGGATGTGTTAAGAGACAGAATTTAACTGTAGATTCCCCAGTTCATGATAACAGTTTGAGATTATATCTGAAATAGAATATATTTGATGGATGCTTGGGGATCAGAATGCCATGATTTTCTATGATTGCTTGATCATTAAAGGCACAGATGCTGAGGTGCAGACTTTTTTTTCAGATTTTTCTTTTATTTGTATTAGAAACAAGATTGTTTTACATGTCAATCCCAGTTCCCTCTCCCTCCCCCCTCCCTCCATCCCCCCAGGTGCAGACTTTTTAATTTATTTATCCCTGCAGGCCAGACTAGGGTACCAGATCTCATTAAGGGTGGTTGCTGGGATTTGAACCCAGGTCCTCTGGAATAGCAGCCAGAGTTTTTAACCTCTGAGCCATCTTTCCAGCCAAGGATGCAGACTTTTAAAAAGCCAGTGAAAATTTTATTGATTTAGCTTTTGTTTGGGTTGGGATTCTTATTTGCTTTTTTTTTTTTTTTTTTTTGAGACAGGATCTCTTAAAATCCCAGGCTAGCTTCAAATTTGCTATGCAGTTGAAAACTGCTCCTGTCTCTGGGATTACAGGTGTTTGCCACCACAGCCAACTTATTTTCCAGGTTTGGGTGTCAAATAGGTGAGGTAAATGATCTTGGTAACCTTAAGCATAAGTTTCCTTTTATTAAACAAAAATCAAAGGATTCTTTGGGTATGTTGGTACACATAGTCCCAGCTCCTCCGGCGGCTAAAACAGGGTGGAGTCTAGGAATATTTAATCTCAAAGAAAAAAAAGGATTGACTAAAATAGTATGTGCTGTGACTTAAATGAGATTATAGTTGTAAAGATTTTGTCTTAGTGTCTGAGACATTATAATCTCTCAATTTAAAATTGGGCAGCTGTGTTTTATTTAAATCATTTTTACTTTTAATTATGGAGTGAGTAGGCTGTTTATGAGTACAGATGGCTGAGGAGGCCAGAGGTTTAGGATCACAGAAAACAGAGCTGTCTAAGGTGGATACTTGGAATCAAATCAGACTTTGAGCTTCTGCAAGAGCCATGCTTGCTGTTAACCTCCAAACCATCTCTGTAGCCCCAGCTGTCATTTAATCCAGTGTGCACTTGTGATCTCAACATTTGAGGGGGTGGAAGAAAGGTTCACAAGTGTTGGCTCACCCTGTCTCCAAAAGTAAGAAAGGACTGGGAAAGGCTTTAGAACAAGTTCTCTTTGTTTCCATCTGTCTGAATGGGATTTACATAGGTATTGTTCAACTTTCTTTGGTATACTATTTTATGGTAGAGACTGGTATTTCCAACAGATTGTGCACTGCCACAGCTTGCAGTTAGACTGCAAGAAGAGCTCAGAGGCAGTGGTGGTGCCAACTTTAACCCCAGAGGCAGGCTCATCTCTGAATTTGAGGCCTGGTTTACAGAATGAGTTCCATCCAGGACTGCCTAGGCAGCAAAAGAAACCCCGTCTTAAAAGGGAAAAACAAAGTAAGAGCTCAGGAGCTAGAGAATCCAATGTCTTCTTCTGATCTCTGAGGATGCCAGGTTCCCACATGGTGTACAAGCTTATCTCTTTTTTTGAGCAATCCAGCTAAGCAAATCAAAATGGACTAGAGTTCTTGCTAATTTTGTCTTTCAGCTATCTTCAAATGAAAGTGATAACAATGAATCAGGACATTTCAGTCCTCTTTTTACATCCCAGTCCCCTGTGAAAGCCACTTTGTCTGATGAGGATGATGGCTTCATAGACCTTCTCGATGGAGAGAATCTGAAGGTATCATCTGTGGGTGTGAGGGTGTGCCTACTCATTCTAGCTACCACTGGAGAAGGCTCCTAAGTAAAAACAGCTCCTGGAGTCTCAGCTGGCTGATTGATTTGTGAGATTATTGGGACTCTTCCCTGCTTGACTAAATCCTATTGCAGGGGGAGTAGTGGCGGAATGTGTGCTTAGGGTGCGCAAGGCCTCAGGTTCAATCTCTTGTACCAAAAAAGGAGGTGCTAGCCTTCCCTGGTGGTAATGCCTGTAATCTCAACATTTAGGATGCTGAACAGGATTGCCATAGCCACAAATTAGGCCAGCCTGTGCTACAAGTAAGGCTCCTCCCCAAAAACAAAACAAAACAAAAAAATGTATTCAGGCTTGTCTGGCACTCTTTAGGAGAGTTAAATGCAAAGCATTTATTAATCTCAACTGGGTCCTTTTCTTCTTCCCAGCCCCTCCACTGGATCTATTTAAAAACAGTTTTTTCTCTTGCTCTAGAATGATGAGGAGACCCCTTCGTGCATGGCGAGCCTCTGGACAGCTCCCCTTGTCATGAGAAGACCTACAAACCTTGTAAGTTACTCCAGTATGTGGAGTTTTCAGTAGTTGGCCGCTGAACAAAGTAGTCCATAACTATGTTGACTGGAATAATCTAGGACTTGTCATTCAAGTGATCAGATTGTAATCGAGGTGGCTCTGTCTCTTACCCTAAGGGCAATCGATGCAGGCTGCTTGACTCCTCTTCCCCGTGCAGCTCCAGCAGCAGCTCCAGCACTCGGGCAATGTTGAAGAGAACAGAGCGCTCTCGTGACGAGTCCCCTCGAGGAAATACAAAGCGGAGGAAGAGCATGGCCAGTCCTGTAAAGGCAGATAATCTAGAGCCAACCCAAGAGGTTAGTTTTGCAAGTTCTCCTTTGGTCTACAAAAACAAAGTGTTCTTAATTGTTGAACCATCTCAGCAGTCCTATTATGAGATGTTTTTGGTTTGGTTTGGGGTTGCCTGTTGCTGAGGATTGAACCTATTCAAGAACTTGGTCAACAAGCTCCTTGTCCACTCCTATTTTCCTCTTTGGTTTTGTTATTTGAGGGTAGGGGCACATAAACAGTGCACATGTGGATGTCAGAGTAGGACTTGGAGACCTTTCTCTTTTTACCATGTGGCTCCCAGGCTTAGAACTCAGCAGCAAAGAGACCTTAAGTTGTTGCACCTTCTCACTGGCTCCTGTTTATTTTTAAGCTACATTCATTGTAGCTACTTTTGGGGGCGGGTTTATTGTTTTGAGACTGTCTCACTATGTAGCCCTGGCAGTCCTAGAACTCACTGTATAGATCAGATTAGCCTCATACTCAGTGATCTGTCTGCTTCTGCCTCCAGAGTGCTACATATTCTGCTTGTTTCACCATCTTTTTGCTTTTTACCATTCTAATACTGGGACAGTTGGCAAATGTTATTTCACCCGACTGTGTTCTGATGGTTGTTTTTATCTTTTAGGAGCAGGTTCTCTTGTGGCCTGGGCTGCCTGGTGCTATGTGGTTTATGGTGGCCTCGGAACTTTTGATTCCTCTGTCTTGATGTCCCTAGTGCTGGAATCACAGCCATGCCTGAGTTTTTGTTTGGGTTTGGATTTTTTGTTTGTTTGTTTGTTTGTTTGTTTGTTTCGAAACATGGTTTCTCTGAGTAGCTTTGGAGCCTATCCTGGCACTGACTCTGGAGACCAGGCTGGCCTCGAACTCAGAGATCCACTTGTCTCTGCCTCCCAAGTGCTGGGATTAAAGGCGAGAGCCACCAACGCCCGGCCACCACCCACCATTTTATTGGTCTTTTTAAACATTTGTGTGTGGGGGTGTGCACATGTGCCATGGTGCATGAGAACCTGTCTATAAAACAGAATGGCTAAACAGGGATAGATGTGATGTTTCCCTTTAAGGCAGAACCTATGTAGCCCAGGTTGATCTTAAATTCATGGTTTTTCTGCCTAAACCTGCTGAATGCTAGGGCCTGTGGTTTCTTACTGACTTTTTCATTTTTGTTTTGTTTTGTCTTTAAAGATGTATTTATTCATGTATTTATGTATGAGTGCTCTGAATGTACACCAGAAGAAGGAATCTGATCCCAATATTGATGGTTGTAAGCCACCATGGTGGTTGCTGGGAATTGAACTCAGGACCTCTGGAAGAACAGTCAAGTGCTCTTAACCATTGAACCATCTCTTCAGCCCAACTTTTTCATATTTTTGAGAAAAGATTTCACTCCACACCCTGGACAGCCTTAGGTTCACTGTTTCTCAAGTGCTGGGATTAAAGGTGTAAACTACCAAACCCAGCTTCTGTATTTGTTGTGTGTGCATACATTCTAGTGAGTGTGTAGGTCAGAGATTGGCTTTCCAGGAATCTGTTCCCTCCTTCCACAATATGGTCCTGGGAGTCTAATTTAGGTTATCAGGCTTGGCAGCAGGCAACTTTACCCATTGAGCCATCTTTTTTCTTTTTCTTTTTTTTTTTTTAAGATTTTATTTATTATGTATACAATATTCTGCTCTGTAAGAGCAGCCGGTGCTCTTAACCTCAGAGCCATCTCTCCAGCCCCCATTGAGCCATCTTGATGACTGTTTTTTGTTTTTTCGAGACAGGGTTTCTCTGTGTCTTTGGAGGCTGTTCTGGAACTAGCTCTTGTAGACCAGGCTGGTCTAGAACTCAGAGATCTGCCTGCTTCTGTCTCTGGAGTGCTGGGATTAAAGGCATGAGCCACCAACAATCTTAAGGTGCCCACCCACCTCCACCCTCTTTTTAAATACTATTTTGGCGCAAGACCTTTGTGTGCCATGGCATGTGTGGCAGTTAGAGGACTTTCCAGAGTTGATCCTCTCTCCAATGAGGGTTCCTAGGATTGCTGTTAGGCATATACAAGTACATTTGCCCTCTGGGCCACCTCTCTGGCCCTTGTGTCTTTGAAAGAGGGGGAAAAATCATAAAAAGAAATGGTTCAAGGTCCCAGTCTCCCTTTTTGGATATAAATGTTCAGGTTGCCTCTCGATTACTAGTTTTCAGGCTTGCTTACACAGTGGCTCCTTGTGTGGCTGTCCTTTGGTGCTATGCCAACCTGCAAAAGGAAAGCCTAGATCACAGAAGGCTATTTATTTAGAAGCAATCTAAACGATCTTTACAACTTCTTGAATTTGTTTTCTCACCAAAAAAAGCCCTATCAGACATTCAGGAACTCTACTGAGATAAAGTAATTATGCTTTATTTTGTGAGATACATGTCAATGATTTTCTGTTTTGGGTTTGGTTGTTTTTGTTTTGTTTGCTTTTGGCAGATTCTTGCCATGTAGCCCTGGCTAGCTCAAACTTCTTGTAGCAGTCCTCCTGCTTCATGCATTACCAAGTCTCAGCTTGATATCATCAGCTCAATAGTTTTCATTATGAACAATAAAACGCAAAGGTGTTGGGTATGTTGCATGCCTGTAATCCCTATGGATCTCTGAGTTTAGTGCTAATTGGTCTACGTTAGCAGGTCTACATTAGCCAGCCAAAGATACGCAGTAAAACTTTGTCTCCAAAAAGGATAGAAGGGTTTTTATAGAAATTCAGCTAGCTAATAAATAGAAGGGCCTGTCTTTTTCCTTTTGATTCAGTCGAATTACAAAATCTTTTACTTAATGTGGGTATTCATAATTCAGTCTCCTTTTGTCATGGTCAAGGTAAATATTTTGGAGTTCTAGTTAAAACTCTGGTGTCACCCTCTACCTTTGGTTTGTTACAGCTTCTACACCAGTCTTTATCCCTGACATCCTCACCCAAAGGAACCATTGAGACCATTTTGGACAGTGACCCAAGAGACCTTATAGGAGATTTCTCCAAGGTAATTGCAAGAAGAGTTGGATAGTACTGAGGAAGTGATGGGGGTAGCTAGAACCCCACTTAGCCTTTCTCCTTCAAGGTGGCTCCTGGGGTGCCTCCAAAGCAACATTTTAAAAAGTTAAAGATAGGGAACAAATTGAGCTTCTAATGATAAGGTACATGTTGGTCTTTGAGACTGTGGTTTCCTGTTGGCTATCTGCCTTCACTCTGACCCATAATGCAGGTTCTCTGGGAACTGAACTTCTGACTATAAAAATAGTATGCATATACAACCATGCTTTGAGTCCATATGTTGAAAGGTATCTTAGAAGGTCCAGATTTTCTGGGTGGTGGTGGTGCATACCTTTAATTCCAGCACTTAGGAGGCAGAATTTGCCAGTCTGATCTACCTAGTAAGTTCCAGGATAGTGGGACAATATAGAGACCCTGTCTCAAAAAAATAAAAAGAGAACGGGGAGTTTGGAGAGAAGAACAACCAAGGGCTTGTGTAACCTTCAACGAGTTGAGACTGTTGGTGGTTTTTAATATGGTCATGGGTAGGCTCTTAACTTGGCCAGTTATCCTCTAAGTAACGTTACTGTGTTCGTCTTTCTTAAGGTTGGACCAAGGTTGTTTTCCCATTCTCACTGCCCATCTCCCCTGGGCAACCACGTGCTAATTAGATGAGCAAATTGTCTTCACTTCTGAGGTGGGGTCTCACTATTTAGCCCAAGCGGACCTTAGACGCATATCGCCTTCCTCGGGCTCCCAGTGCTGGGTTACACAGTATATAGTACCATGCCTATGTTTTGTTACAGAGTCTCATATCCCCAATTGGCCTCATGTTCACACTCAGGCTGGAGTTGAATTCATGGATCCTCCTACTTCTTCCTCCCAAAGGCTATTATTACAGACCTGAGCCACTATAGACCGGGCTGGCCTGGAACTCATAGAGATCCTCCTACCTCTGCCTCCCAAGTGCTGGAATTATTAAAGGCGTGCGCCACCACTGCCTGGCTCTTTGCTGCATTTTTAGGTCTTCATACTTTAACCACTAAGATGAGAGTTCCCTTTTAAAAACAAGAGAAAGGGGAAATCACCTACAATTTCTGTCTTCAAATCTAGCCTCAGTTCCAAGCCAGCCAGGCTTGTGCTGTCTCAAAGGCTCATTTCTTTAATCCCAGGAGCAGACACACCTCTGGGTTTGGAGCCAGACTGGTCTACATAATGAGACCATTCCTCCTTAAACAAATAACAATTAAATATCCGAGTGTTGGTGCATAGAAGGGTAGTTAGCATATACTATTCACTTGTTCATATACTATTCATTTGTTTCTGGGTTTGTTTTTTTGGGCTGCTCCCTACCAGCTGGGCAACAGAGGAAACGACATTTGCAAGCTTTCACGTTCCTTCCCCTGAGTATCTTCTGTTCCTTTTTTAAAGGGTTATCTCTTTCATACAGTCTCTGGGAAGCATCAGGATTTGAAATATATTTCTCCAGAAATTGTAAGTCACATTTGTGGAACCCACTGCACACGGGGGTTGGAATCTTGTTATGTGACTGCCACCATTGACACCCCACCCTCCTTTTTCTTCATAGATGGCATCTGTTTTGAATGGCAAGTTTGCTAACCTCATTAAAGAGTTTGTTATCATTGACTGCCGATATCCATATGAATATGAAGGAGGTCACATCAAGGTTTGGATTCTTGAGACTTATCGTGGGTGGCTTAGAGGAGGGTTATTGACACCTCTCAGCTGATGGTGAGGATTTAGAACAAGCCAGAAGATGTGAGTTCCTGCAGTGCTCTCCTTGTCTGCCCCTCACTCTGTGCTGTTTCAGGGCATTTCTAGGTGGCATCCCTGACATCTAAGCCATTCAGTGGAGCCACAAAGTGCTCCATAGTATTTGAAATCTTAAATATAAATATTTGACCATCCCAGAGCTCCTGACTAAAAGACGCCATTCTGGCAACATGCCTTGGTATCTGTACCGGGCCTCTATTCTTTAATCAAACAGCCAAATTGGTGGAGGGACATGTTGGAATACATGTTTCTGGTCATACCACTTTAATATTACCTTATAAATTAATTTAATATTACCTTATAAAGCAGTGTTTAAATGTGGTGTAGGGGGTATTACCTTCTAACTTTATGAAGTGACCTTGGAAATAATTTCCAGTTTTCATATTTGTTACTGATCTATAGAGAAAGCCTATAGACCTATAGAGAAAGCCTCATTGAGATACAAAAGTCTACTGGACTGCTGTGCCAGGAGACCTGCAGAATCACAAATTACTCTGAGGAGCTGGCTCCCTCTTTGAGTCTTCAAGTGTGATTCAGCAGATGTTAAAAGTATCTGGTGTCTTCAAAGGGTGCCGTGAACTTGCACATGGAAGAAGAGGTTGAGGAGTTCTTACTCAAAAAACCTATTGTACCTACTGATGGCAAGCGTGTCATTGTCGTATTCCACTGTGAGTTTTCTTCTGAAAGAGGCCCTCGCATGTAAGTACTACAGAGAATAAGACTTGGGGGTAGAGGGTTCATGTTGTTTTTGTTGAGCCTGGTAGTATGTTCCTTTTTCACTAGTGGTATAAGTGTAGTATGTCACACACCCTGTTGTGAGACCAATGGTGAGTCTAATGTGTTTGACCTTTGTCCCCTTTGGCTCACCAAGAATAGAGGAGTAGATACCTGCTATGTAGCAGATACTACTAAGATAATAAAATGGAGCCATTCATTAAAGATACAGTGGTGAGGCTGAACATGTGTGGTGGCAGGGAAAATGATCCGGGTGGCAGGTCCAATCCTGAGTAATAGTAAATACATCCAAACTGGCAGTACTTAACCTTTACTAAGAAAGAGACACTCCATAGAATGGGAGTAGGCTCAGAAGACCAGGTCTTGGTCTTGGGCGTGCTTTGCTCTTTGGGTATACTGCTGGGGTTGAAAGCAGGTCCCTGGTGTGCTGGACAGGCACTGCTGCACTCCTCCCTTTGCTGAAGTTATACGAGCTTGTGGTTTCATCTTGCTGTTCTGCCACATTTACATACATTCCATTCATAACTACAGCAGGGCACTATTGTATAAGAATTCAAGGCCAGTCTGGACTATGTAGTGAGATCCTGTCACCAAAAAAGAAAGAAAAAACCAAACAGACAGAAACATATGAACAGATAACAAACATTTGCACAGGACCTGAATAGTCACACATGAATGGAAATTATCAGGAACTTGCATCCCAGTCTTCATAAGCTTGGCAGTCCTCTAAGCAATAACAGTATAAAACAAGGACAGCCTCCAAAGCCACAGAGAAACCCTGTCTCAAACAAAACAAAAAACTAAAACCCTGCCTTTCTGGAGGTCACATTCGGAGAAAGCAGGAGGCAGAGAAGCATAAGAAATACTTAGAACTTTCAGGCGGGAGAGATGGCTCAGAGGTTAAGAGCACTGGCTGCTCTTCCAGAGGTCCTGAGTTCAATTCCCAGCAACCACATGGTGGCTCACAACCATCTGTTATGAGATCTGGTGCCCTTTTCTGGTGTGCAGATATACATGGAAGCAGAATGTTGTATACATAATAAATAAATAAATAAAACCTTTAAAAAAGGAAAAGAAAAGAAATACTTAGAACTAACTATGCAAAATGTTCACAAGTCCTTCAAAAGGAGGTCAGAGGTGGAAGCTCCTGGGCGGAAGAGAAGATCAGAGTGGGATGGGGGCGAGGCCGTCGAGGCAGCACATCTGTAGGCACAACTGCACCTTGTCTACAGGTTTGGGCAGGGTGGACCATTGAGACAAGAGCTTCCAGTGGTCACTTCTGTGCGGGGTTCCAGTAGGTACTCCCAGGAAGTAGACACCCTAGTCTGTCTAAAGGCACAGAAAGGGTTCTACTTCAATAGGAGGTGAGTGGGGAGGCGAGTGAGTTGGTTCAGAGCTGCTGCAGGCAGTGTTATTAGCGCGTGCTTAGGAAGGAGTGAGTGCCTGAAACACCACTGTTCTCACTGTTGTCTCCATTCCTTTTCGCTAGGTGCCGATATGTGAGAGAAAGAGATAGGCTTGGCAATGAATACCCCAAACTCCACTACCCCGAGCTGTATGTCCTAAAGGGGGGATACAAAGAGTTCTTCCTGAAATGCCAGGTGAGGCATCTATGAATAGCATGTCTCTGTGCCTATGCTGGACCAATAAATCAGTTGTTGCGGCTGCTTGGGTGGGGGTGGGGTCTGGAGACAAGCCGAGCATCCTCTAAGCACCAGGCTCCTGTAGAACTTGTTGGCCCTTGCTTCTTGCTTCTCACAGCCTTGCAGCTCTAGGCAGGGGTTAGCCAGACTGTGAGGCAGTTCATGTCCTGACTTTGTTCCCTCATTCTCACGTCCCTATAGTCTCACTGTGAGCCCCCCAGTTACCGACCAATGCACCATGAAGACTTTAAAGAAGACCTGAAGAAGTTTCGTACCAAGAGCCGGACCTGGGCAGGGGAAAAGAGCAAAAGAGAGATGTATAGTCGCCTGAAGAAGCTTTGAAGCCAGACAGCAGCAGCCATATTTCCCTCTGCCCCTTTCCTTTCCCTTTGCTGCAGAGCAGGAAGCAAAGGAGCCAGCTGCGGTACACGGAGAAAGACACAGGCCTTCCGTGCCTTAATCCTGTCTCCTACACTCCCAGGTTGGAGCCCAGGGCTCTCCTGTCCTATAAGATTCCTTCCCTGTCAGGACTATCTGCCAGAGCTGGATACACCACAGCGCAGACCAGAGTCTACAGTCTAGAGCGCCGTGTCAAGCTGCTCTGACTGAGCGTCCCATGCATGAAGAGTAGCTAGGGCCTTATTCGGCAGACCCTGGCCGCCTGTCATGAGGGGAGAGAAGTGACAAACAGAAGTGCTGCTGGCCAAATACCAAAGATAGGCTGGAAGGGAGAGAGAGGTCTTTGTGGATGACCCATAACTTTAATTTATTCAGCTTCATCGATTATTTTATTATTTTTTTAATTCCTCAAGACTTTTACTTTACTGCTTCATTAAGTCAAAATACTGCCATCCTAGGTAGAGTTTTATCATTCCAGGAACTACCTCTACTTTTAATTTAAAAAAAAAAAAAAATTGGGGCAGGGATAAGAATAGGCAAACCTGTTGTGGACAGCGCTAGGAGCTCAGTCACCCCTAGGAGGCACTGTGAACTGGGATTGCTGCTACTCAAAGTCAAGGACTGAGATGCTGGTAAGAGCCTGCACCAGATCCAGGCTTGGCTACAGGACATAAGCTAACCTTCCCAGACCGCCCTCTGTCCTTTGTGATGTCCTTGGGGAAGTTTTAGATCCACTCCAGGTTCCCACGATGGTGGCTTCTATAGGAGTCCCAGGAAAGCACTTCAGGCAGCTTCCTTCTGGCCATCCCAGGCCAGTGCTGGAATGCTGTGGTTAGTGTAGGTGCCCCAGGGTGAGAGTGGGGAGGAATGAGTGGAGTCCACTGGGGAGGGAGGAGCATGCTCACTGAATGTCCTTTGGGAAAAAAAAAAAGTCATTGTATGAGTTGAGGAGTATCAAATCATTGTTGGGTGGGCACCCAAGGGTGAGAAGGGGGCGAAGAAGCCCAGACCATTGGGTGGAAGGAGTCGGTCCTGGCCTACAGATGACTGTAGACTTTCTCAGGAGGAAGTGGTAAATTTTGAAGTAAAATGTTCTGGGTTTATCATGTTTTAATTTGAGGGACAGGGAGTGGTAAATCACACCAGTTACCCCCTTAATCTAACCCCATGGAGGTGAGGCTCTCGAGGGAACATCTCCATCTGAGGAGCTGGGCTGTGCTTTAGTTGTGTGCAGCCTATTTTGGTGTCTGTCCATCAACATTTCCGGGCAGCAGTCTCCTGGTCGGTCATCTTTGCTCCGCTGGGGTCTAGCCAGGTTTTTCTTAGGGACAGTCTCCCCTCTTGCCTCTTTCTATTCTGGGGGTGGGGAGGGAATCAGTGATATTGAAGATGGCTAGTTGTTTGTTATGGGTTTGAGTTACATTTGGCTATAAAAACAAATCTTGTTGGAAAATACATGGAGAACAAGGGAATGAGCAGCCTCTTCCCCAGTGTTGAAATGTGTCCCAATTAGTCTCTGGTTTGTAGAGATTCTGTTAGTTGAAGGAGAATGGCTTTTGGATTGTACCAGCTTAGCTAGCATTGTTAACCAACTGTTGAAGGCTCTGCAAATAAAAGTGACCTTGAACCCATAGTCTCTGCCTAGTTCCTAATATACTCAAAGGGGACTTTTAATTTTCACTTAATGTTCTAGGGTCAACGAACTAAAACTGACGCAACCATATTTCCTCGGGGATAAATAGATACAGTTTGGTTTCAGCAATGGCTGAAACAATCCCATTATCACTAAAATGTGCTCAGTGATTGACAGGATGAAATGGACATGTCTTAGGCACTGCAGTGTGCACTCTAGATCGCTGCACTCTGGGCATAGGCCAGGGTCACATGATGCAACCATGTCTCAAAATAGTTTCTTTGCCAGGTGGTGACACATGCCTTTAATCCCAGCACTTGGGAGGCAGAGACAGGTGGATCCCTTGAGTCTGAGGACAGCCAGGGGTACACAGAAATCCTGTCTCAAAAGAAAAAAAAAATGGGCTAGAGAGATGGCTGAGAGGTTAAGAGCACTAGCTGTTCTTCCAGAGGTCCTGAGTTCAATTCCTAGCAACCATATGGTGGCTCACAGTCATCTATCAAAATCTGGTGCCCTCTTCTGTCCTGCAGGCAAACTTAACAGGCAGAACACTGTACATAATATATTTGAAAAAAAAAAATTCCCAGTCCTTGGGAGGTAAAAGAGCAGATTGGAATTCAATTCTGTCACATGTTAGAGAAGCAACTCAGTCCCTTGAGTTGTCTGGCACATGTATGTCCATGCTTAGTTAATGTTTTGTGTGTAAATTCCTTCAACTCCAGCTACTTACAGGCCAAAGCAGGAAGATATTAAGATCAAGACCAGAGTTGGCACCTTAGCGAGACTTAATCTCAAAAAGATTTAAAGGCCTGGAATGGGTAGAGTATTGTCTAGCATGTTCAGTACACAAGCTAGTCCCTGGGCAGTGAGTGACAGGAGCGGAGAAAGTAAAGGCTTTAAACAAGGTCTTTAGGGCTGGGGAGGTGGCTCAATTTAAGAGCATTGGTTGCTCCTCTAGAGTTCCTGAGCTCAATTCCCAGCAACTACATTGTTGCTTTAATGACAGCACTCAGGAGGCAGAGACAGGCAGATCTGATTTCAAGGCCAGCCTGGTCTACAGAGAGTTCCAGGACAGGCTCCAGAACTACAGAAAAACCTTGTCTTGGCCGGGGGGTGGGGGTGGGAAGGTGTTACTTGATATTTCAAAGGGGCTGCTTTCCAAGGTACATGGGGTGGGACTGCACAGTGTACTGGCCTGGTGCCAAAATGAATATGAGAATTACTGTAGAGAAATAGCAAGGCTGGAAACCAGGGCAGATGTAGGCAAGGAGGGGAGAAGCAGAGGAAGGTGATTAGAGAGGTCAGGCTGTGGGCCACCCCAAGGCTGACAGCCTCCAGGCCAAGGTGGGTGAACTGGGATCCTTGGGCAAGCAGGACTCCTGGAAGGGCAGAGCCCTTGGCTGAACAAGGGCTCCTAGAACAGTACACACAGTCCCTTCCTGTGACCCTGGGAAGCTGTCCAGTCAGCCTCCCTCACAGGTCTGCCCTTTGGCTTCTCAGATTTCAGTCATTACTTCAGGCGTGACTGCTGCCATAGCTACAATGTGGCCACCAGATGGCGATGGTGCCCCAGGTTAGTCCCCTCAGCAACTCCTCCAGAAAGGCAGCTGAGCTGAAGTCTGGGGCCCAACTTGGAGCTGCAAGTTTGCTTGCTTTCTTGGTTTTCCCTATCCCCTATAGTTTATTTTGAAAGACACAAAGGTGGGGTCCACTTCAACCTTTTCTTACTACTCCCTGTAATTTCAGCTTCAGGGAATTCCACATCTGGCCTCTGAGAGCACCTTCACACACGCACACACAAATGTGCATATACACAAAAATAAAATTAAAATAAAAATTTAAGGAATTCTGCCAGGCAGTGGTGCTGCATGTCTTTAATCCCAGCACTTGGAGGCAGAGCGAGTCTGAGGCCGGCCTGTTCTACAGAGTTCCAGGACAGCCAGGGCCACTCAAAGAAACTGTCTCAAAAAAACAAAAACAAGCCAGGCGTTGGTGGCGCACGCCTTTAATCCAAACACTTGGGAGACAGAGGCAGGCAGATCTGTGAGTTCCAGGCCAGCCTGGTCTCCAGATCGAGTGCCAGGATAGGCTCCAAAGAAACCCTGTCTTGAAAAACAAAAACAAAAAACAAAACAAACTACAAAAAAACCATTTTTTAAAAAATTTCTAACTAGACATAGTGGTTTGTTCCTGTAATCCCAGCACTTTGGAGGTAGAGGCAGGAGGTTTGCTGCCACCTTGAATCCAGCATTGACTACATAGGATGAAGTTAGAGTCTAGCCTAGACTACAAAGTAAGAACCTGCGTAAAGGCAAGAGTGGGGGACTGAATGACTCAGCCAGCGGATTGGACTCAAATTTAGTTCCCAGCACCTATGTTAGGCATCTCACAGTCTCCTTGTAACTCCAGTTCCAGGGGATTTGATGTCTTTCCTCTTCTGGCTTCTGAGGGCACCCACCTGCACCTATGAGGCACACACACATAGACACATAAAGAGAAATTTTGGATTTTGTTGTTTGAGACAGGATCTCACTGTGTAGCCCTGGCTGGCCAGGCTAGCTCACAGAGTTCCTTCTGCTTCCAAATTACTGGAATCAAAGGCATATGCCAGAGTATCTGCCAAAAATAAATCTTCAGAGGCTGGACAGTGGTGGAGTACGCCTTTAATCCTAGCGCTCGGGAGGTGGAGGCAGGAGGATCTCTGTGAGTTCAAGGGCAGCCTGGTCTACAGAGTGAGTGTCAGGACAGGCTCCAAAGCTATACAGAGAAACCCTGTTTCGAAAAACCAATAAATAAATAAATAAATCCTTAGAAAAAGAAACTCTGGTCCAGATAAGTTTGGGGAAACCCACACTAAGCAACTGTTACTTTGGGTTTGGTTTGTTTCCCAGGACTTCTGCAGAGCAACTGCTGGTTGGTTTGGTTTTGTTGCTGATGCAGACTACCCACATTTTATGAATGGGAACACCCATGCTCTCATAGTGATTGAGTTCCTTCTGGTTACTCATTGACAAACAGAAGTGGGAGTAGGCCTTTGCTCTCCAGTTCCAAGTTCTCAACTCTTTCCTAACTTTCTCTTGCTTTCAAGTCACCTTCCAAAGAGCTATGCTAGTGAGCTGTGAGCTTGCTTCTTGCCTGACTAGAACACTATGTGAAGAGAATTTCCAAGGATCAGTCATGGCTGGCTTGACAAAGCCCTGTGTCAGTGTCTCCTCTTTAGTCTGGGAATTTCTACATCCTGTGTCAAGTGAAAGACCTGGTCTGGAAGAATACAGTGGAGAATGTCATCACTGAAGGCCCCTGATGCATG